TGCATTAACTGCTACAACTTCAGGTGGTATAAATTATTCTTATGAAAATTAATTGCCTGTGAAGTGTGATAACAACAGTTCCTTCCTGTCGCTCCTTCTTTTGAATTCCACGTAGCACTTCAGCAACTGACAGAATGTAATGTGTACATCCTCGGGATGGCAAACACTCAAAAAAGCTATACAGTTCTTAAAACTGAAAGAAACAGATGCACTTCCTAAGTAGTCTTAGTAATATTAGTAATCGCAGTGTTACTGTTAATGGTGATACATGTATTTGTCCGAATGTGTGTGTATTCCTGTTTGCTTCTGTGTGTGTGAATTTGTGGCCGTGTCGGATTATGAACGGTTAATTGGGTGACAGAAAAACACTACGGTTCACTAGATGCCATTGCAGCTAATTGGTTGAGCATCTTATCCCACTCCTCATTAAACCGCCAAGAACAAACTCCAGAAAATCAGACCAAGTACGTCAAAAATGTTACAGGTCAGCCTGAAGCTCACTTGAATTTTGTGAGCTTCAAGCTGACCTGTAACATTTTTGACGTACTTGGTCTGATTTTCTGGAGTTTGTTTTTGGCAGTTTAATGAGGAATGGGATAAGATGCTCACTCAATTAGCTGTGAGCATCTTTTGAGATGTGATTTGCCGCAACACTGGCTATTGAATTAGTTTCCCGCCATTGGCTTCTGTTTCAATTCAGCATCAGTTTCGCGCAGTATACCGCGGCGACAGGGTGTAGTGAAGGAGGGCGTTGTCATGTGCTGGCTCGGCCCCTTCAGCTGGCTCACCAGGCAGTTTCCGGTGTCAAAAACCCCACCCCGACTTTACAGCATGATTCATTTCTATCACATCTCATCCAGCCTCTGCTGCGCAAAAGGAGAGTACTGTACGTAATCTCCAGCTCCTTACTCAGACTTTTGGAAAGCTCTGTGCAAGAGTCGACCGAGCAGCTGTCCGGGAAACTTCGGTCATTTCGACACAACATAAGGTAAATTATACATTTTTATAAAAGAGTTAATAAACTGTCGAGAAAATTGCATGGACAAAGCACCAGTGCTCTAAACTGACCAAGGATGAGCAGTGTCGTTCGCTACAGTAACAAACCTGGAGAAACAAACGCATCCAGGAAAAGTGAATGTGCAACTATGCAGCGAAAACGGCACTACAGCCGGAAATAACAATAGTAAGATCTCCAGACGAGTCAGCCAATAACTTTTGAAGGTTTTGTCGTATCCATTTTTAGACTCTCTATTCAGACTAGTTTTTGTGCAATTGTTACACACTCAGTTCCTTTTCACCCTTTAATCTGCTTCTTAGGCCTCTTTTTAAATAGCTAATGTACTGATTAAAGCAACAATCAGTAGCGTCA